CTATGGTTGTGCCCACAACATCAAGTTGTACCAAATGGATGTGAAGAGTGTATTTCTAAATGGGTACATCAATGAGCTTATGTATGTTGAGCAACCTCCTGGTTTTAAAGATGAAAAGAAACCCAACCATATTTATAAGTTGAGAAAGGGTTTGTATGAATTGAAATAAGCAACTAGAGCATGGTATAAGAGATTGAGGGGTTTTCTACTCTCTAAAAAATTCAAAATGGTAAAGGTTGACACCACTTTTTTCACCAAGAAGTTTGGAAATGACTTGTTTGTAATACAAATTTATGTTGATGATATCATATTTGGATCAACAAATCAAGATTTTTGTGAAGAGTTTGGTAAGATGATGGCAAGTGAGTTCGAGATGTCCATGATTGAAGAGCTTAGTTACTTCCTTGGTCTTCAAATCAAGCAAATGAAGAATGGCATATTTGTGAGTCAAGACAAGTATATCAAGGACATGCTCAAGAAGTTTAGAATGGATGATGCTAAAGCTATTAGTACACCAATGGGGACAAGTGGAAGCTTAGATAGTGATGCTAGTGGCAACATGGTGGATCAAAAGATGTATCGGTCTATGATTGGAAGCCTACTCTATGTGACCGCATCAAGGCCAGATGTGATGTTTAGTGTATGCATGTGTGCTAGATTTTAAGCCTCGCCAAGAGAAAGTCATTTGAAAGCAGCAAATGAGAATATTAAGATATTTGAAGCATACATAAAATATTGGATTATGGTATCTCAAATGAGCAAGATTTGAGTTGATTGGATATTCGGACTCCGATTATACGGGATGCAAAGTTGAGAGAAAGCATATCGGGCACATGTCAATTATTGGAAAGATTACTTATGTCTTTAAAGAAGCAAAATAGTGTAGCACTTTCAATAGCCGAAGCGGAATACATTTCGGCCGGTAGTTGTTATACTCAATTACTTTGGATGAAGGCTATTTTGAGTGACTTTGGAATCAAATTCAAGCAAATGTCATTGCTATGTGACAATGAAAGTGCTGTAAGCTCACCAACAACCCGGTTCAACATTCAAAAACAAAGCATATTGATGTCCGTCATCATTTCATAAGAGATCACCAACAAAAAGGGGACATTTCCATTGAGAGTGTGGGCACCGAAGATCAACTTGCCGATATCTTCACCAAGCCACTTGATGAGAAGATGTTTTGCAAGTTAAGGAATGAATTGAACATACTTGACTTCTCTAATATGTGTTGATGCACACCCCACTTATATGACATGCCTCTCCTTCGAGTAACTAGACTCATGTTCATTTTATGAAAGCTAGACCCTTGCCTGCAATGTTGATCTCATGGGATATTCTTGTTTTTATGTATGTCTAGTTACTAATGGTGCTAAGGATGGTATATTGGTGCACTCCGATTGGTATCATGCTTCAAAGGTTCATCTCTTATACCTTAGCATCATTTGTTAGAAATTGTCTCCTATATTTCCTATGTAAGTATATGTGCAAGCTACAGTCCAAACTCTTAGCACATATATAGGGGGAGCAATTGCTGCTATTTAAAGTTCATAAAACTTGTCAATATTCTTTTACACATGGTAAATATACTTGGACAATCAACATAGATTTATTTAAATTTTAATTCATATATTTATATAAGGGTTGTCATCAATTATCAAAAAGAGGGAGATTGAAAGCTCTAGTTTGGTTTTGATGAATTGATGAAACCCTATATGCTAACATATTTATCAAAGTGATTATGAAATAGGTAGCACTACTCTAAGTGATGAAGCAATGGTAAAGATCATGATGATGGTGATGGCATGGTGATGATCAAATGCTAGAATTTGGAAAAGAAGAAAGAGAAAAATAAAATGCTCGAGGCAAAGGTATAAATAGTAGGAGCCATTTTATTTTAGTGATCGAGACACTTAGTGAGTGTGATCACATTTAGGATCGATAGCCGTATTATTAAGAGAGGTGAAACTCGTATCGAAATGCGGTTATCAAAGTGCCACTAGATATTCTAACTCATTGCATATGCATTTAGGATCTAGTAGAGTGCTAACACCCTTGAAAATATTTGTGAAAATATGCTAACACATGTGCACAAGGTGATACACTTGGTGGTTGGCACATTTGAGCAAGGGTTATGAACTTCACTGGTGGAGTGTCCGCCCATAGAGTGCGGACAGTCCGACGGTACCATCGACGCCCTATACAGAAAAGACGGAGGTCACTGTAAGTGACTGGACGCTGACCTCGGTTGGACCGGCGTGTCCGGTCAGTAGAAGCTGCAAAGACGCTGGCGTCGGTCTCTGACCGGACGCTGGGTCACTTAGTGACCGGACGCTGAAGGGTTGCGTCCGGTTCTGCTGACGTGGCAGCGCACAGGGGAGACGTCGAGTGACCGAACGCTGGGTGAGTCCGATCGTGATTTCTCGCTTCTGGATGCTTTCTGGAAACGACCGGACGTTGAGGTCCAGCGTCCGGTCACTTCGCAGCAGCGCGTCGGTCATCACTTGACCGTTGGGATCGGACGCTTAGTATTTGAAGAGAGGGGACACGTTGCGTGCATCGCACGACCGGACGCTGGGGTCCAGCGTCCGGTCACCCCGTGTTGTGCCCAGCGAAGGGGTACAACGGCTCTATTTCGTGGAGGCTTTTATTTAAGCCCCATGACCAACTCTAGCTCACTCTTTTAGCCATTTTATATTGACATAACAACCTTGTGAGCTTAGCCAAATCTCTCACACTCATCTTCATCATTGATTCATCATCATTGTGAGATTGTGAGAGAATCCAAGTGCATGGCTTGAGTGATTGCATCTATAGGCACTTGGTATTTATGTTTCGCTGTGGGATTCACTTGTTTCTTTTGGTGGTTGCCGCCAGCTAGATGGCTTGAAGCAGCGAGTATCGTCGAGCGGAGGTTAGTGATTGTCTCCGGCTCAGATCGTGGTGATTGTGAGGGGTCTTGTGCCTTCCCTGGCAGAACGCCGAAAGGTAACTCTAGTGGATTGCTCGTGTCATTGAGTTACCTCATTTGTGGGTAGGTTCTTGCGGTGTCCAATTATGTGGACGAGATTCATGCAACACCTCTTAGCCGTCAAACACCAAGTGTTGGTCGACACAACGGGGACTAGCGTGCCAACAAACACGTGAAACTCAAGAGAAAAATTGGTTGTCTCTTTCTCTTTGATATTTTCTCGGTGATTGATTTAGTATTCATCTTGTGATTGGTTCACTCCTCTACACGACGATATAATCAACCTACTTACTCATTTATACTTTTACAAACTAGTTGTAGCAAGCTCTTTAGTGTAACTAGAATTGAGAGCTTGCTTTATAGTTTAAGTTCATCTAGTGGAGCTCTTTAGTGTAACAAGTGTTCGAGCTCTTAGTAAGTAGTGACATAGAAAATTATGTGTTTAGTGATCATAACAACTAGGTTTGTTGGATAGGTGGCTTGCAACCCTTGTAGAGTTAGAGCAAATTTACATTTCGCTATTTGTTATACTAATCAAATTGCTTTAGTTAATCTGTAGGGTTTTAAATAGGCTATTCACCCTCTCTCTAGCCATATTAGTACCTTTCACACAGCGACTGGAGGAGGTTACCCTGGAGTTTCTCCGAGCAGCCCACTCCTTCTCTGTCAGCAGCAGTTTACCGCTGTCCTTTATTGTTGTCGCCTGCTCCAGACGCTCGTCCACTGTCCATAGATGACCTGTCACATCCTCGATGACGAGGGTGGACAAGTCCAGCATCGTCTCTACGGAAAGAGCGATCTAGATATACTTTATCGGTACGGAGTAGAGGTACTTAGAGACAGTCTTCTCTTCATCGATGGTGACACCGTGACTTTTCAGCTTGCTGATGAGCGTCAGCAGACGGAGGGAGAAGTCCTCCACCGTTTCACCATCCTTGAACTTGAGGTTGCCGTACTCCTGCTTCAGAAGCTGTGCCGTCGTCTTCTTTGCGCGGTCGAAACCGACGCGCATCGCCGCAATAGCTTCTCACGTCTCTTTAGCAGAGCTTTTCATCCCCAACGGTCCTCTGTACTCCGCCGGTACAATAGCGAGGATATCCTTCAACGCTGACATGTCATATTTTTATTTTCGGTGTCCTTATCAACAGCATTCCAGAGCTGTCGGGCTCTGAGTTTGACCTTTATGGTCACCGACCACTCTTCATAGTTGATGCGAGTCAGCGTCGGTCAACTGGTGCCGCTGACCTCCCGCACCGTGCGAACAATGACCTCCTGTCCGGGCTGGGCAGCCACAACAGTGCCACTGCTGTCGCCCATCTCCGAACCGTTCGTCATCGCCAGCGATTAGTCCGACGACAACGCTTGTACGGCTCCAATAACACTTGTTAGCCTACAGGATCATTGACTTAGGTGAGTCGATCACTCATCAATCTTGCCAACCACAACCGAGGACGACAGAAGCTATCCGACTACACTCAATATGGATGTAGAAGAAGAGAGAGAACAGAGCATACACATAGCCAGAGACACCAGTATTGACCATAGCCCCGTGTAGGAGATGACAAATCTGAACTCTTTTTACTGAGTTGAAGTGACAAACTATTTATACAATTCTATCCATCTAGTTTTAGTATAGCTATCATGCTGCTACAGTTACTAGATAACACAGCAGGGCTTCGTCTATCCCTGTATATGGCTGTAGCCCAGCAGATGAGTTATTCGACGCCCACCTCTACCGCAGCTATACTGCTGCAGCAAAGAGCTTTTTCGACGCCGTCTTGTCTTGCCGTGCGTTCACATCAGAAAGCATTAGATCATGTGACATGTGTGGTGCGTTTCCTTCTTCCTCCTCGCACACGCCAGGCACGAGACCAACAACACCCCCAGCGCACGCACTCCAAATAGCGAGCCGAAGGGGGCCGAGGCCACGAGTACTCCACCGCGTCGCTCGCGCTCCACGCGCGCCGAGAGCCGAATCGGAGCCTCGAGGCAGCCGCCCCGGCCGGATCGACCCCAGGGCCAGGGCATGGGCGGAGGGGACGCCGACGCCGGCGGCGAGCCCGCGGCCGCGCAGGCCACGCTGCACATCCGGTGCACCAACGGCTCCAAGTTCGCCGTGCGGGCCGACCTGGGCAGCACCGTCGTGGCGTTCAAGGCGATCGTCGCCGAGAGCTGCGACGTGCCAGCGCCGCAGCAGCGGCTGATCTACAAGGGCCGGATCTTGAGGACGAGCAAACCCTAGCCAGCTACGGTGCGTGCTTCCCCCTATCCTCTCCTGGGATCGCTCTACCCTTGGTGGTGCGTGGTTTCCCCTGTTACGCTGTGGACTGCGGTCGATTTGGTTAGTCATGCGTGCGAGCTGCGATGTTGCACTCTCGATTCTCCCTTGCTGGTGTGCTAGATGCAATGTCTGTTAATATATTTGCTGCCGGCAGGACAAGGAGGTTTATTCCTTGGCGATGATGGTCATGGATGATTCCGTACATTCGGAATGCTCCGTGGTAGGTGCAGCATGTAGGCTTAACGCAAGGAGACTTGCATGTTCGTTGATAGTTCTACGGTAGCAAAGATGCAGCAGGAGAGAAATACATGCTGCTTTGATGCCTTGACGTGAATGTAGTTCTGAATATGCTGAAACCATGCAAGCCTTGTGTGTACTGCACCCCTTGCTGCGTGGTTAGGGTAGTAGAGTTTATCAGCAGGTCAGTGGAACTTTTGCATTTCATATTGTATATATGCTGATATCACGATCGTATCTTAGTGATCTGTGACTTGGAAGGATCATCATATTTCCATTTTGAGTTCTTACCCATAGTTTAAGTTAGTTGGTAACGGACGCATCTTGTCAACCGTTTTTATTGTGATCCACGTGTCAGCCGTAAGCATTAGCAGTTACTTTTGTCGTCTTTTAGATGTCAACATGAACCATCCTTTCTATTTAGGGGGCATTGTCCACGTGTTCAATCTCCGTTACAGAATGGTTCTAGATGAAATGGAAAGATATGTCTAAAAGATATCACAGAGTCTCAGTGCTTTATAGATTTGATCCATGCCCATCGAAATTTTTTTTGCACACAACCTATTTTTATCTGCACCGGCAATTACCTGATCATATTTAAATGGTTTATCTTTGATGTTACCTTTATACATTGCGCTCTTTATGGCAACATTTAAAACTTAAGAAGAGAGAACTTGTCTATTTTTCATACAGCAGGTTTAGAAGCGTTTGATCTTGTACATTACATCAGACATATTGTTGTTTTGTTTTTTGCTAACACAATAGATAATGTAGGGGTTTCATGTTGCATTTCTGATTCACCAACAATCCATGCGGCTGTATAAGTTCAATAAACCAGCAGTTTGGATGTTATGTAGAATTCTCATTTGTCAAAGCTGAGGTAGACTGTTGCCACTTGTCAAATAGTACTAGCCAAACGTGAAACTTAAATTTGTTTATGATGCATAACTGAGTTCTTTGGTAGAACATCAAATATCAATAGTGAGAGCCCATGGGGATTTTATGGAGGAGACCTTTTTTGTGTTTTTATTTATGCCTATTCAATTTTGATCTCACTTACAAAGGAACTTTATGCTACCAGTTATCACCAATTAGAAATCAAGGACATTCTGAATTTTGTTTATTTTGGTGATGGAAACACTTTCGTGTCTGAATCATAGCATTTTTTATATTTTGATTTGGCAAGCTGTTGCCTGATTTAGGAACTTCACCTATCAGTGTGTTCCCTTATTCTGTTTCCGTTCTCTCTTGTAACCTTATATTGTCTCTTTATGAAGGTGTGGAGACAGACCATACAATCCACATGGTACGTGGTGCTGCGCCACCACCAGCATCTACTGCACCTGCAGCCAACCAAGAACCTACCACTGCTGCTCCTGCCAGTTCCCCAGCAGCAGGATTGGGTGGCTTGTTGCAAAGTCTGGGTGCTACAGGGGCTGCTGCTAACAGTGGGGGGTCGGGTTTGTTTGGATCTGGCCTCCCTGAGTTAGACCAGATGCAACAACAGCTAGCGGAAAATCCGAACTTGATGAGGGAAATAATGAATATGCCACTCATGCAGAATTTGATGAACAGTCCTGAACTCATACGCAGTATAATAATGAACAATCCTCAAATGCGTGAGCTCATTGATCGCAATCCAGATCTTGCTCATGTCCTCAATGATCCAAGCATCATGCGCCAGACTTTTGAAGCAGTTCGGAATCCTGAACTCATGAGGGAGATGATGCGGAACACAGACAGAGCCATGAGCAACATTGAATCTTCTCCAGAAGGATTCAACATGCTCCGTCGCATGTATGAAACTGTCCAAGAGCCTTTTCTGAATGCAACAACAATGGGTAGCGAGGGTGATCGAAACTCGAATCCATTTGCTGCTCTTCTAGGAAACCAGGGGTCTAACCAAGCAAGAGACTCAGCTGCAAATGGAACAACTACAGCTTCAGACCCCACATCAGGCTCTCCAGCTCCAAATACTAATCCACTTCCGAATCCTTGGGGCTCAAATGGTAAGTTTTGGATATTCATTTTTTCCCCATGTTGGTAGTTGTGTGTATTGAAGGGCGGGCCTGGTGCAAGCGGTAGAGTCTTACCGCCTGTGACCGGAAGGTCCTGGCTTCGAGTCGCGGTCTCCTCGCTTTGCACAGGCGAGGGTAAGGCTTGCCACTGACACCCTTCCCAGGACCCCCGCACAGAGCGGGAGCTCTCTGCACTGGGTTGGTAGTTGTGTGTATCTTTGTTCTAAGTCTTAAAATCAACAGCTGGCTCTGCCCAAGGAGCAGCAAGGTCCCCTCCTGCTAGGAACACTAGGAGTACTACAGCAGGTGGCCTAGGAGGGTTGGGTTCAGCAGATTTGGGAAGTATGCTTGGTGCCAGTGGTGGTGGCTCTGATGCTACCTTCTTGACTCAAGTTTTGCAAAACCCAACTATGATGCAGATGATGCAGAACATTATGTCTAATCCTCAGTCCATGAATCAGGTATGATGCTTGAAGTACTTCTGTTGTGAAATATTTAATAAAGTGCATATTTCTTGTCCTGCTTATATACATAGAGTTCTGATACTCCGTTGATGCAGCTGCTTAATATGAATCCAAATGTACGTAACATGATGGAATCTAATACTCAAATGAGAGAAATGATTCAGAATCCAGAATTTCTTCGCCAGTTGACATCTCCTGAAACATTGCAGGTGATCAATCATACTGCTCTAGCTACATGTGCATAAAAAATACTAAATGTTATTTCTTTTGCAGCAATTAATTTCATTCCAGCAGTCTTTGATGTCACAACTTGGCCAACAACAAGCTGGACAGTGAGCATTTCAACTTTTGATTTCACCTTTTTTTATGAGATACTATATGCTTATTTAGCCTAGAGAAAGGGATTTTTTTCATTTGTTCTTGTATCGCAATCTCCAACTTTGTGCACCAACTGCCTTTTGAATTCTTTTTGTTGTTTGATCCAGGGAGCGGACACAATCAGGCTCTGGTGCAGGTATCTCCTGAATTTACTATCTGCAGTTTTGAAATGGACTTACCCAGAATTTATTTGCACTAGGACTTATTGATGTTTGTTTCTTTACATTCTGTATGGATAAACCACAAGATCAGTTTGAGCATTGCTTCCAAAGGTCCTTTAAATATTTATCTTGAGTGAAAATTTCCACACGAGAATAGTAATATTCTTTGACCAAGTGACTATACTAGGAAGAAGCATGTGTGGTTTTCCTGATTTTTTGAGCTAATTCAACTCTGTTGGGGTCCCAAATCTTTGCCAGAACTTGATTTAATTAAACTTGTTTAGTCAGTCAACTGCCTTTCTAAGTGGATTTACATATGACCTTGCTTATTTAATAACTTTTGGAAAACTTGAATCCTAGGCAATGTCAACCTCAACACCTTGATGAACATGTTCAGCGGGCTTGGTGCTGGTGGTGGCCTAGGTGTTCCAAATGCTCCTAATGGTTAGTACATAATCTGTTCTGTTAATGAAGAAATTAATCCTGCAGTTCAACTAAGTATGATCTCTTGAAGCTTTTCTCTTTGGATGATTTTTTGAAGTCTTCTCATCAGTAATGTCAAAATTTGCAGTGCCGCCAGAAGAACTGTATGCAACACAATTAGCTCAGCTCCAAGAAATGGGTTTCTTTGACACACAGGAGAACATCCGAGCCTTGGCCGCTACCGCTGGAAATGTTCATGCTGCAGTGGAGCGACTTCTTGGAAATATGGGCCAATAGAATATGATGATGATCATAACTGTACTCTGATCATGTGATCTGTAGTTGGCATTGTGAGATCATGTCTGGTTCATTAGTTTTACACCTGAGATTGAGAGGCGGCATCTAGATTCTGTGTTTAAGGATGAATAAAGAGTGTACCAGTAGAACCTTTCATATACATGCGGTCTGGTGTCATGGTTAAAATTGTTGTTGTTGGTACATTGGGTTGTTGTACATACATTTTGATCTCTTGCAATCTTATTTGCAATGTACATGGACAATGTCTTCTGTACAAGAGGGTGGGGGTGGGGGAGGGAGAAGGAATATGTAGTGCAAACCATGAGAACTCATAAAAAAATGTATCTTTCGATTGCTCAAGAAAATATGACATGCATCCATACCCATAGATGTATTTTGTTGCAATAGTTGGGATTTCCTCAATTTTAGAAGATATAAAATAATAAAATTCAGTGAATTTTATCATTTTCATATGATTTTTTTATAAAATGAGTTTGAATTCTAACTACTGCGACAAAAGTAAATCTACGCTTTTTGAATGTGCATCGCTTCAAATTTTTTTGGAGCCACAGAGAGATGATTTTGATTGACGTTGCATGTTTGCACCAAGAGATAGGTTCGCTCTACATATTTTCCCCTTATCTCACCTAGTCACCGCCTACTGGAGATGGCCAAAGTTTTACTTCTTTCATACTAAATTATAAGATGTTTTGTGTTTCTAGATACAATAATTTTTATTATACACTTTTTTTTAGATAATGACTATGCACTTAGATATAGATTATGTTTAGATACATAATAGAAGTAATATGTCTAGCTTTTGCTATTCCAAATTGTGAGATGCTTTGGTTTTATATTTTCGCTTATACATTTAGATACACATTATGTCATCGTAAAAGCAATATATATAGAAAGAGCAATTTATTTTTGTTTATAATTTGGACGGAATACGCTCATTAATGGGATCACGTGAATGCTGACTGAAGTTTTTTTTAGTGACAAACCAAACAGCGAACTTTATTGTTTGAGGATAGTTATATCATTCATTCAGCCCGTTCACTTGTTGGTTTCAGCCCGGACTTATCGGCTATGGTATAAGATATTTTCTCTCATGTAAACCAAACCAATGTAAGAACATCGGTAGACTTAACCAACCAGCGATCAAACTGATTAACAATTCAAGAATAAAGCTAGGGGATCGTGGTCCCAAATACAGTTTTCCTTTGAATGCGACTGAAGGTGATTTTCTTCTGCTGGTGTTTGGGTGCTTTTGAGAATTGACAGCTTGGATGGCTGTGAATATGATCCCCGCTACACCCTCCAACCGATCCTGGCCGTCTACTGCGATGATGTCATGCGATCCATCCGTCCACTCGGCCCAGTAAAAGCGCCCGAGGAGCTGCCCATATAAACCCTTCTCTCCTCCTTTCGCCCTCACCCTCTCGCGGCCGCCAGGAGAAGCCGCCGCCGCCGCAGCTGCGTCCGCGTCCGCAGCCACAGCAGGCGACCGAGATGGCGGTAAGAGCCCCAAACCTTCCTCTCCGTTCGTGCTTCTCCAGTGGATTGCTGCGTCTGTGCCTTTGCATCTAGCGTATGGTTGGATGGATTTGTTCACTAATCACTAGGGGACAGTAGGGGAATCTAGGCAAGCCTTTTTGGGGTAGGGCGTCCTCGTCGACCAGGGGCTAGGTGGGGTCTTGAGGGATGGGCACGGTGGAAGCCTCGTGGAGCTTATTGAAGGCGGCGACGGCGTCGGAGAGAGAAGCGGAGGGCAGTGGAAGCGGGGGCGGAGAGGGAAGGGAAGGCGAGGCTGAGAGAAGCGGTGGTGGAAGCCATGTATGGTGCGGTGCCTGTGCCTGTGCCTCTGCTGCTGGCGAGGCGCAGTATCCCAGATGTGGGATTTGGCACATAACAAGCGGAAACAGACTGAATGCCAACACACTCTTTTCTGCTTGCACTCTTATTCAGTTATTCTGTAATGTTGATAGCACTAAACAAGTGAAAATTCATGGCACCTTGGGGTTGCATCCATCAGCTTATTCATGGAATGAAATTCAGTAGGGTGACAGTGCAATATGATTACATCAAGCTGATCTCTGCTCTAAAGCAAACATATTGCAATAGGAGAGAATGTGGCATGTTCTTTGTGGCTCAAAAAAAAAAAAAAAACTGACAGGGCGACAAAATTTGGGCTTCTAAGTTTGACGCAAATCTTTATATGTCTCACCACTGTCTTCTCGACATGTGGACCTGTTAGCCTTAGGATGAGTAACATTTTGTACAGCTACTTAGTCTATAAGTATCCACTGTTTCCTCTGCTAAAGGCAGCCTGTCTTACCATTTTCTAATCTAGAGCCACCCTTGTTCCACCATTGATCCACCTGGAGAGGAATACAAGGTGTCCTAGGCATTGAATGGTAGCAAATAATTGTGCTCAAATTTTCACTAGCATTTGTTCGCCGCTGAGTTGACTGAACACTGTGACAAGGCGAGCCTTGTGGCAATTTGTGACCTAGTGCTGTTGTTTGTATTGTACTGAGATTGATGGCACTAGATTTGGTATGCTTTATATTTTCTTCTCAAATGCACTAAACTGCTTGCGGGCTTTATGGGATTAAAATGGATGTTTGCAAAAGTATTGTTTGGGCGAAGGGAGGGCATCTGACCCTTCCAGCCAAAGCACATGCTGCTTCTGGCTAGGTCATTTGATTAGGTGATTAGTGCATCTGCTATCTAGTATATTTGTGGTTTCATGTTCATGCGGTGGGGAGCTAATGTTGAATGCATGTTACACCATTTATTTTAACTGTCCATGAGTGTTTATGAGTCTCATTCCTGGTTTGACTAGGATTCGAATTGCTTAGATTGTTAGGTTTAGTAGGTCCTCAGCACTTAGAGTGAGTATAACTGATATGCCTGTGATGACTTTGGCTGATGTTTTGTTAAATGTTTGTTGATAGACATATTGCAGTGCCATTAGACCTATCTTCAGTAAGGTGGCACTGGTTCCTAGACACATGTCATTAGGATGCTTTTGCCATCTATATTGTAAACTTAGCTGTGTGACTATTGATAAGGACATGTTTGCTGCTTGGTTTGCGTGTTTGATCTACTATCAGTCACTTACTGTATATGTTTGATGGCAGCTTAGAGAACTCTCTTGTATGGATGAGTGATAGTTTTTTTCTCATATTCAATTGCACCTGTGTATTCATGTGCTTTCTGGTCTCCAGGGGGGGTTCGTCAAGACCCAGAAGACCAATGCTTACTCCAAGCGTTTCCAAGTGAAGTTCAAGAGAAGGCGTGGTATGTTTTGTTTGCTCTCTCAATGGTTTTGTTATATTTGCTTTTCGCTGTGTGTTTGATAGTCTACATTTCTATTGTTTTTGTTTGCAGCTGGTAAGACAGACTACAGGGCAAGGATAAGGTTGATTAACCAAGACAAGAACAAGTACAATACGCCCAAATACCGATTTGTTGTGCGATTTGTATCCTTCAAATTTATTATTTCTGTGCTTTGATCTTCTTTCTGCTTATTATTTTTGGCACGTTGAACATTGGAGGCGTTGTATCTCTTAATAAATCTCCTTAGACCAACAAGGACATCACTGCACAAATCGTATCTGCAAGTATTGCGGGTGATATGGTTCTTGCTGCTGCCTATTCCCATGAGCTGCCACGATACGGTCTAGAAGTTGGTCTGACCAACTATGCTGCAGGTATATTTTTGTCTGCAAAGAATGTGTAAACTCTCTTTTGTAACTAAGCACATTTATGTTGTATTGTTAACTCCTTGCCCCCATCTTGTAGCCTACTGCACTGGTCTTCTTTTGGCTCGTCGTGTGCTCAAGATTCGTGATTTGGATCAGGAGTATGAGGGCAATGTTGAGGTAAAATTCAAACAAATGTTTAAATTTATTCTGTTTGCTGTTTTACTGATATTGCGTTGGGTGACACTTTGTGATGATCTTCTGTTCTCAGGCCACTGGTGAGGACTTCTCTGTCGAGCCAGCCGAAGGGAGGAGGCCTTTCCGTGCACTCTTGGATGTCGGCCTTATTAGGACTACCACTGGAAACCGTGTCTTTGGTGCCCTGAAGGTATAATCCTTCTGTATTATGAATGATTGTATACTTGAGATGTTTTCGTTGTGATTTGGTTGTAGGTGGCTCATCAAGTGAAGTTTTTCTATATGAGCCCAGTATTGCTTAAGTCTTGATAAATGTTTATCAGCTAGCCCGTTTTCTTCTTGAATTTAATAACATCAATATTCCAATGAACTCCCATGTATGTGAGTCCACACTGAAAGAATGGACATTCCCATTTATCTAATTTTCATTGAACTATAGTTTTGTTGTATGTTTACAAGGAATATGTTTTTATGGAGAGCATTTTAAGTTTTTAACGCAAAATGCTTGTTGTTGCTGCAGGGAGCTTTGGATGGTGGTCTGGATATTCCTCACAGCGATAAGAGGTTTGCTGGCTTCAAGAAGGATGATAAGCAGCTGGATGCTGATATCCACCGCAAGTACATCTATGGTCTCCATGTTGCTGAGTATATGAAGGTAAGTTGTGCATGTTGCTTGCCAGATTATAGTTTTTTCCCTTGTAATGATTTGGATATCAATTTGTAAGTTTATTTCATAAAAATATGTAACTGTCCCACATCAGGTGCTCTATTTGGTGGGGCTGACTAAATCTCATTGGTACTATTATTCTTATGAATTATTCAGAATCTGGCTGATGAGGAGCCCGAGAAGTACCAGGCTCACTTCAGTGAGTACATCAAGAAGGGAATTGAGGCTGATGAAATGGAAGCTCTGTACAAGAAGGTCCATGCTGCCATCCGTGCTGATCCTAGCATGGCTAAGTCAACAAAGAAGCCACCAAAGGAGCACAAGAGGTTTGCCCTACTAGCTGAGTGATGATTCTATATAGCCTACATCTGAATGTTTCTGCCCAACCTAATTCCATAATTTTCTTGCTACTGAGTCACTGACCCATGCACATCTTTTGTTTATTTTAGGTACAATCCCAAGAAGTTGACCTATGAGCAGAGGAAGGCCAGCCTCGTGGAAAGGCTCAACGCCCTCAACTCCTCTGGCGGTGCCGATGATGATGATGAGGATGACGAGTGAAGTGCTAGTCGCGTCACAGTAGTGCTATCTTATTTGGAGATCAGAACTTGCTGCACAATTGCATTTATTGTTCCCTGTAGTCCTGCAACAAGCATTTTTGTTTAAGTGTGGAGCTGGAGACATGGAGTTGATGGATTATCTTAACTAAAGATGTGGTGTCTGTTGACGTTACTCTTTTTGTCCCTGGATTTTGTCAGCCCTTAATGGCTTCCTTGGTTTCTAGTATCAGGATAATTCAATCTGTGGCTCTCTGTCATGTTTTTTTGCCTTTTCGTATTATGGTGGATTAATGTGCTGTTCTGTATTTTATGTTCTGTATTTTAGTCGAATGCCTCTTGCAGCCTTTCAGGTTCAGATTATGTTCGATTGTTATCAATGGTTTAGCCCCCCAATGCAGCGAGCCATATGTACTAGGCGAGTTTGCAAGTTATGTTTTTCCAGGGGTCTAAGGTAAGGGCGATCTCATCCGTTTGGCCTGTTCTTCGCATGCCAACGCCAAGGTGCGATCGAAATGATCATTTTGGTTGCGTGATATGTTTGGATGAGGCTGAGTTCAGAAGATTTTATCTGCTGCAAAAATCTGGGCATTGCTTACTGATGACCATCGTCTTGCGCGCAAGTCGCAACCCTATGATGGATGGGGGTGATGGAGGCAGCCCTTCTTTTCACGTAACGGCCCATCGCAATTCGCAAGCATTGTTCGAGGAGATGCGCATAGGCTTGTTGAGCATGGGCAGGACTGAACGGCCTCAGCTGTGGTTGCTTGTGTGACGACGCTCGTATTTTCTTTGTTTTATCTCTCCTTTCGGTGCATTATTCATTCGTGACACCGAACCGTCCCGGAACGAGAAAAAATCGCGGTAACGCCCCCAAAGGGTGCGCTGGTTGAGCGAAGTAGCCGTGTAACACAGCGCCGTGTTGTACTTGTACCGCACATTGGCCTTGGTCGTGAAAAATCCGAGGGTTCTTTTCCGGCTTTTGGGTAGGCGGTTCGGCCACACAAGACTCTACAATAGTAGTACTACTTTACGTCCCGTGCGCATGTGCACCCACACCTCCCCTCGCCGTCGCCGTGGCCCGTCAGCCCGTGGCCATGCGCTGCGCCCGTGTGAACGGCATCTACAGGAGGCTTTAGCGAAAATACCCTGCGCCCATCGCGTTCACACGCCCGGCCCGGGCACGTCCAGCTCCTGCCGTAGTGCAGTTTGCTCCATGGCTACGCTTGTCTTATCTATTTGACGCCCAGCACCTCCGGCAACAAAACCAGTTGTTGTTGTTTTTTTTCTGGAGGACGGGGCTCGCCGGGGAGCGTGTGGATGAGGCGCGGCCTATAAAAATAAAAACCTACCCACCCACCCACGCCTCCGGAGGCGCGTCGGCATACGTAGCCCCACACGAGCACGAGCCCTGGAAGGATCGGGAGCAGAAACCCCAAGAGCCACTCGCTGCGCTGCGGTTCCCGCGATATATAACCGGCGGTGTGTGGCTGACCTCGCGTACGTAGCCCGCACGGCGCACGCGCTGCACGCCGCCCCGCCGCCCGCCCAGCTCGCCATCGCCGCCGCCGCCATGGACCCGTACAAGGTACGCCGTGCTCCTCACAGTCCAGAGCCACACCGGCTGCTTATGTTCGTCGTTCATGTCTTGATGATGTGTCGCGTGCAGCACCGCCCGTCGAGCGCCTTCAACGCCCCGTACTGGACCACCAACTCCGGCGCGCCCGTATGGAACAACGATAACTCCCTCACCGTCGGCGCACGAGGTAACTGCTGCAGCAGCTGCTGCTGTCTGTTCCTACTGGCCATGACTTCACGTCAAATCAGCTAATAGTACTTTCAACCATGACTTATAAGTCAAATCAGCCCAAACAATCAGTAGAGCTCCCTGCCGATGCTGCCGTCGCTATAGTAGGAGTAACTCAACTGAGCTCTGCATGCGGTGTTGGAATCTCGACTTCGGTAGCACCTGAGTGCTAGTAGTGGAATTCCGGTAGGAGCAAGAGGTATTTGGTTGCACCTTCTAAATTTTAGTGTTTTATCGAATGTTTAGACATATATATAGAGTATTAAATATAGACTAATTACGAAACTAATTACATAGTTTGTGACTAATTTATGAGACGAATCTTTTAAGTCTAATTACTCAATGATTTGACAACCCTTTGCTATAGTAAACATGTGCTAATGATGAATTAATTAGTCTCAAAAAATTCGTCTCGTGAAAGTACTGACGGATTATGTAATTTATTTTTTTATTAATATCCAAATACTCCATGCAACATCCTCCTGATATACCCCCTAAATTTTAATCACCGGATCCGAGTACTACGAGGAATGATCAGCAACAGGACGAACCTGCTGCAGTGAGCAGAGCACGCACGGTACCACTAGACGAAGCAATTGCTACAGTACTACTGAGTATATATCATTAATTGAGCTCCAAGTAGTATCTGGTTACTCCTATGATAATTGATAAGGACAGACAGTAAAGAAAAGATTAAAAAATCAGAGAATATACTCTACTGAAGAATTTTAATTTTACCGTGTAAACTATTGTCACTGTACCTCCAAATCTCGAGTTCAGGAGTACTATGCCAGTTTAGTCCTGACGACTACTACTACTACTAGTACTTGTCATGTTTAGAATCAAATCATCAATCAGTCCAGTGGTCTCGTAACTGTAACTGAGCTGAGGTGAACAAGAACAATTGAAGAAGCGCTGTGGGAGTGGGATTAATTAATTATATTTGTTCACCATCATCAGGTCCCATCCTGCTTGAGGACTACCACCTGGTGGAGAAGCTGGCCAACTTCGACCGTGAGCGGATCCCGGAGCGCGTGGTGCACGCCCGGGGCGCCAGCGCCAAGGGCTTCTTCGAGGTGACCCACGACATCACCCACCTGTCGTGCGCCGACTTCCTTCGCGCCCCGGGCGTGCAGACCCCGGTGATCGTGCGCTTCTCCACGGTGATCCACGAGCGCGGGAGCCCCGAGACGCTGCGGGACCCGCGCGGGTTCGCCGTCAAGTTCTACACCCGGGAGGGCAACTGGGACCTGGTGGGCAACAACTTCCCCGTCTTCTTCATCCGCGACGGCATGAAGTTCCCGGACATGGTGCACGCGCTCAAGCCCAACCCCAAGACGCACATCCAGGAGAACTGGCGCATCCTCGACTTTTTCTCGCACCACCCGGAGAGCCTCCACATGTTCACCTTCCTCTTCGACGACGTCGGCATCCCCGCCGACTACCGCCACATGGACGGCTCCGGGGTGCACACCTACACGCTCATCAACCGCGCCGGCAAGGCCACCTACGTCAAGTTCCACTGGCGCCCCACCTGCGGCGTCCGGTCGCTGCTGGACGACGAGGCCGTCGCCGTGGGCGGCGCCAACCACAGCCACGCCACCAAGGACCTCACCGACGCCATCGCGGCGGGCAACTTCCCGGAGTGGACGCTCTACATCCAGACTATGGACCCCGAGCACGAGGACCGCTTCGACTTCGACCCGCTGGACGTGACAAAGACGTGGCCCGAGGACGTGTTCCCGCTGCAGCCCGTGGGGCGGATGGTGCTCAACCGCAACATCGACAACTTCTTCGCCGAGAACGAGCAGCTGGCATTCTGCCCGGGACTCATCGTCCCCGGGATCTACTACTCCGACGACAAGCTGCTGCAGACCAGGATCTTCTCCTACTCCGACACGCAGCGCCACCGCCTGGGACCAAACTACCTGCTGCTCCCGGCCAACGCGCCCAAGTGCGCCCACCACAACAACCACTACGACGGCTTCATGAACTTCATGCACCGCGACGAGGAGGTGGACTACTTCCCCTCCAGGTACGACCCTGCCAAGAACGCGCCCAGGTACCCAATCCCGACCGTCCACATCACCGGCCGCCGAGACAAGGTACCCAATCCTCCGTGATCATCATTTCATTTTTACTCTAATGTACTGTAGTAATGTCCACTCGATCCATCACTGACTGAGTCTGAATGATCCCTCGATCACCTGTTGGTTTGTCGGTGCAGACCGTGATTGCCAAGGAGAACAACTTCAAGCAGCCTGGGGAGAGGTACCGCGCAATGGACCCAGCCAGGTATGGCAATCCATTCATCAAATGCTCTCTTACTGATCACTGAACTGCATGTTTGCTTACTGAACTGAACCGGACTGTACTCATCATATCTGCAGGCAAGAACGGTTCATCAAGAGATGGGTCGACGCGCTCTCTGACCCCCGCCTCACCCATGAGATCAGGAGCATCTGGCTCTCCAACTGGTCTCAGGTAATGTACTTATATATATGTAGTAATTTATATAATCTGCAGCTTATTCAGTTTCAGACGATAAGTTGCTTACTGAATTCACCGAGTTGTTTTCTGAATCGTTGGTTGCCTGATCAATGGATGCAGGCCGACAGATCTCTGGGCCAGAAGCTTGCGAGCCGCCTCAGCGCCAAGCCGAGCATGTAAGATCAGACAACGGCGCAGGGGACTGAACTCTGCTTCGCTCATGGAAGGAAGGAAGACAGCCTGAAACCGAATCCCTCTTATCGATCGGCAACACCCAACCTGATGCTCCAATTATTCTTGCATGCATACTGAGTCTCTTCTTTGTATAAGAGGACATAACATATGGTTCTGTCTCATTTCTGTACGACCAATCAATCATCATCATGTAATAATCTGTACTTGCAGACGTGTCTCCACCTGATACTACACTGGATTATTGTAAGTGCACCTTGTTGAATTCAGAACACATCATACAATAAATTATGACATGTCTTTGTTAGGATTCTGCTTTGTTATATCCGTAGCATAGGATCATGACATACCAATCGCTGGCAGGAGCGTACCAAGCTGGAAAAAACTCCTCAAAGAGCATATCATGCAGAAAAAGAAAATCATTCTACAGACGGTTGGCAGCAAGCCAGCCTTCCCATGGTCTAAGTCCTCACCGCCAGAACCTGTGCTGGCGATGAGTGTTTGTGATTCAAAAT